GGTAGAGGTAGATAGGAGATGAAGCTATAGTCGTTCAATATATCTGTATCCAGAGAGAAACTTTTAAGGAAGGGGCACACCACAGTCTCCTTCAAGGTCACCAGCAATGTCCTCTCCCACAATGGGCTATTTACAGTCTCTCAGAACCAGAAGAATATTCCTTCCTCCTTTGGACAAAGGAACCAGGAGGGCAGGGATCCAGCCCAAAGGTGACAGGACATCCTACAGACCACTCTTATCTGTTCATTGGAGCAAATGTGGCAAAAGGAATTCCAGGTAGCTGAGCAAGGTGATACTCCAATCCTGGATTCTGCCCACATGAAGTCAAAACCTGGGTGAAACTGAGCAAAACTTGTCAGTGAAATGATGTGCTACTTTATCACAGTGACCAGGTAGGAGCTCTTGATGTCAGTTCTTTCATAAAAAGGAATTGACCACCAGAAACACTACTACTAGATGATAACTTGCTGGCGCAGTAACAGAGGAGAAATTTTACATCTCATCATCAGAGTAAATCTGAATGTGTGCACATAGGCATGTATTCGTATTTGGTCAGATTCATCTTGTCTTCCTTCACCGGTGCTCTTAATTTTCTAAAGGCTTCTGGTAATCCTGACAATTGCCAACACCAAACCAGGCCCTCAAATTATTCACCTACCAGATTGTCAGGAAGCTCCTCACACACCTGCTGGAAGCCATCCAGCTCAATGAAGTGCCTGGAGTGGACCACACAAATAGGACTGCCCCTATGGAGGTCCTGAGTGGCTGTCAATCATACCTGGACTAGGAAGTGATCTGACCATGGCAAAGGATTGATGGTAATACCCTCCACACAGAGATTACATAGCAACTGCTCATAAGCAAAAGTAAGGTCCAAAATGTGTCCTAATACGTTGGGAGAGTTCACCTGAGGCAAGCCCATGATTACCATAGAGGCCATGAATTCTTGGGCCCAACCAGATCAGGCACCCATATAATGGAGACTAAAATCCACCAACACCAAAAGGTAGAGGGTCTCCACCACCAGTTCAGCAACTAGGTTTGAAAACCCAGGGAGGGATCCTTTAGGGCAGCTGTGTGGTCAGTACGCCAATAGGATCTCTAGCCTGTCCATATGGCCCAACTTAACATATAAGCAGTCACAGCCTGCTGCTGCAGGAACAGCAACTGTAATCACAGATAAGACCTCTCAATAAATCAGTGCCATCACCCCCTCCAGTGGCCCCAGCCTCAGGGCTGATGCATGAGCTTAAATTCAGCTGGGCAGACTTCAGAAAGTGACATTCTCACCTTCACCTAGCCAAGTCTCAGTAATAACACCAGGTCTGCCTGTTCACCCACCACCAAAGCATGAATTGGTGTAGTCTTATTGTAGACAGATCTGGCATTTACCAGCAGCACCCTAAGTCAGATTCACCCAGTCTGGCCACAGGGTCTCTAGTTTGGGGTTGGCGAATCAGAAGAGAAAATTGTCACCAAGTGGGAGATCACTCTTTCCCCAGAACAGACTACCTGATTTCCCCTGCTATATCTCCCATGACCTGACATTACTGGGCTGCTATAGCTTTGTGCCCCATCCTCATCTTCCAGGCTCCATGTTCTCCTAGCATGGATGTCAATTAATTGCACAGTACAAGCACACTTTGCAAATGCTGTATAGTCAGGAGGTCAGTAATCTGGCAAGCCACTCATACCAAACTCCCATCCATTCAGTTCCATATCGCTCATCATCGCTCTCCTACAAAACACTCAAACCCTCTAATTCTCTATAGAGATGGGAGAAACAGAGCACTCTTACTAGTCCCAGGACTGTCTCCAACCTCCCCAGCCCTGCCTTTCAGGGAGCCACCCAAACCCACGTTTTGAATGTAAACACCTTTCCTGCTGTAATAAATTATGTAGCTGCCCAGATGTAAACAGGCTTTTGCATATGAAGTACTGGAATCACAGGAGATCCTTGTCAGCTTGCACTGAACAGTTTGCAGCCTGCCAGGTTTCACACAGTAAAACTTAGGGTTCCAGCTCCTTAAAAAAAACCAGAACCAAAAACAAAAAAAACATTGCAGACCACTGTTGACAAGCCACCCTCCGGGGAAATCCTTGACTGGCCCAGGTAGAGAAAAATCAATCAATCATTACCTGGGAAGACAAAAAAAATCTTTCTGCTATCCCCATTGCACAAGCGTGGCAGATTACAGCCCATCACTTTCACTTCTTCCTAAAGTGATGTGATTCACACCAATATTAATAATAACAGCTTCTATTATGTTGATTTGCTGTAAGTCTGAATGGATTCAGCAGCATACAGATCTAATAAAGAAAAATGAAACTACTCAAACTAATTTTAAAAACCAGTAAAATAGAAACAAGCTTAAGTAGTGGGGATCTGCTCCTAAGGAAGTCTTCTGAAACTGCATAGATTTAACCAAAGGAAGGATAGAATGAACTTTCCCATAAGCGGTGTCTTGTATGTTTAGGGCACGTTTTTTGAACATTCTATCATTCTGTAAACTATGCTGAATTCTAAAGTATTTATACTTAAAATATAGACAGTAACAAATAGGACATTGTGATGTCTTAAATCCATAATATCAAATACTGTACTTTACAATCTGGAAACCATCTAGAGACAGATTGAACCATTTTAAAATTGGAATCCCAAATCTCAATATTTTATAACTTATTCTTATCCAGTTTCTGAAAGTTCTTAAAAAGTAGCTCCACAAGAAGCATATTACAGTAATTTGAATTTCCATGGATGGCATGAAAATATACTAATACAATGGGATTTTTTACTCCTTCCTTTCCTTTTGCAGCTCCTATTCTTCCTTATATATCTGTTCCAAGGAGTACTCCAACATCTAGAGCAGGTTTTGAGGACATTGAAGGGGCTGCAGGAGGAAGAGTTACTAATCTGATTGACTGTTCTGTTGGCTGAGACATTTAATACTATTCCATATATTTAACACTTGCTTCCATCCTTCTGAGAAGAAAAATAGGCAGAATTTGTCTGTGACCTGTGTTAATAGTTTCAGAAAAAAGTTGTGAAAGGGTTATAAAAGTTTTCAATACTTCTTGAAGATCAAAAAGATATAAAATATTCATATGTTTTGAGTGAATAATGTTGTTGGGTTTTTTTTGTTTGTTTTACATTTTGTGTCACTCAGAATAAACTACTTTTCAGAAAACAATATTTTACTCTACTTTGACATCTATTATGTAGTAATAACCAGCCTCATGTTACCTGTGAACATACTGCTGTGTATACACATGGGAAGAGGTCAAAGAACAAGGGGTTATTTTTAAGTGGCCAAAAATCTTGGTTTTATTATGTATCATTTATATTTTAGTTTGGATTAATGTAAGTTAATATCTTATTCCTATAAGCTGCATAAATACTTGCTAAATTAAGTATCCTTTTATTACACCAAAAGATGATATAAATGTAGTTGTGTATGCCTAAATAATAAATGGATATTCTATGGTTTTGTTTTTGGTTAGATAAGAGACTCTTATTGGAAAGTGGGAATTGTATTTAAATGTGCATAAAATCTTTTTTTTCCCAAAATAGGAGTTTGGGGGGAAAAGGTGACTTCAAGCTGACTCCAAGCTATATAGTATATGAATGACATGAATGGAGCAAAATGGCTAATGTATATGTTTTGCAAATGTCATGTATTGCTTTCAGAGGTTTGTTAGAGTATACAAGTAAATAGTTGAAATTTCACTTTCTGTGAAGCTCTAGCCTCTGAAAATATATTGGGGGCAAAGATAAGGTCTAACTAGAGTTTTACAGGAAGTTAATAGTTAATTTTGTCTTGATTAAACTTGTTTCTTAGGAAAGTTTTCTAATATTAATAATTAAAAATCACTCTAATCTCCATTTCAGAGAATTAATTAGACTCTTAGGAGAATAGCTCATAAATATTCATATTCTGGCTCATTATGCATGAAAGCTTCTGTTGTAGCTTTCAGTATTTGATTTGAGCGCTCCTATATGGGGCCCAACTGATATGCTATGGTTACAGAATCAGTTTTAACTTGAAGAGAGTATACAATTGAGCAAGCCCTATAGCATAACTATTTTGTTTATTTAATTTTTAGAAGGGCTTCTTTATTTGGAGCAATTAGATGGGCAGTGTTATACTCTGACTTCCTTTACTGTATGTACTATATGTACTTCCTTTAATTAAAAAGGTAAAGATTTCCTCAATTTGGGCTTGATTTCTGTAACTACATGGAAATATCCATGGTGCTTTCTTGGCAACAATATGAAAGTAGTTTGCTACTTCTTTCCTCTGGGATGATTTTTTTGAATTCCTCATCTAGCTTACAACCCTGGAATTTCTGGGTGGTTTCCAGTCCAAGTCTTAACTCAGCCTGAGTTGTCTGTGGCTACACTTATGATAAGTCAAGGTCATCTAGATACTGGTACTTGCTATAGGCGTTCATTGAACAGATTTCTTTTAACAATGTAACAGTTGTAGCAATGATTTAATGAAAATATTGCTATATTTTATTTATGTCTGTTATTTATGAGATTACATTCAGAAAATCATTAAAACCTTGGTTGTTTACCCAGGCCTTGGGATAGGGCAATTGTGGAGTCCCTGTAAGTTTTTTTTTTTTTTTTACTGTTACTGCATTAGTCAGTTTTGGCTTTTTCTGTATGAGTTGCTTCTTTCTTTTCTTAATTGTAACCCTTCCTGAGTCACTAAGGAATATGGGCGGCCTTGAAATTAAATTGATTAATTAAATAACACCCTGCTTTTTTTCAAGGAGGTAGCTTCCACATACATATATTCCCTCAATGTTTTCCCCACAACAGCATTGTGAAATAGATTGAATTATAAGAAAATGACTGGCCTAAGGTCACCCAGTTAGCTTCCTTGACGAGTTGTGGACTTCAGTCTGGGCCAGTCCAGTACCTTAACATTTATATTACATTCAATTTAACATTTATAATGGTTATCTTCATATTTTTATGCTGTATTTTTTAGGTGTAGCACAAACATTTCTTGTACAAGATGAGCAACAGTCATCCACTCCGTCCTTACACAGCAGTAGGTGAAATTGACCACGTTCACATTCTGTCCGATCATGTTGGTGTTCTCATGAATGGGGAGGAATACAGCGATGTTACCTTTATAGTGGAAAAGAAACGTTTTCCTGCACACAGAGTGATTCTGGCTGCCAGGTGCCAGTATTTCAGGTGAAGTATAGTTTCTTATCAGGTGTGATTTGAGCTTCTGGGTAAGCAAGATAAAATAAAAAGCCATTAAGAAACAACCTGATACTATCTGTCCAACAATGTCTTTTTTTTTAACTGTAAAAAAATAAATGTACATTGCACTGTCACACTTGACCTTTATTACATCAGAATCTCAAACTAATATGCTGTATTTAAGGAGGATTGAAATTCAGAATGATCACACAATAGTCCCCAGCAAAAAATGCTTTTATAAAACAGGGGCTAATACTATGAAGCAGGATATGAAATTTCCCATGTTACCTATTGGTCAGTAACTCTTTGAAATGCAAGAATCCCAAAAAATTAGTTTTTGGTTGAGATATGATGTGAAAAACTGAAGAGGAAGGCAATTTGGTATTAATGGATTTTTTTTTCTTTTAGTTTTATTTGTTATTTTTTGCAAGAGTTTTTTGTTCTTATTATTTTATTCAGGGTAATTTTTTTTCTTTTTAAGTATATAGTTTATTATGCATCAGTTTAATTTTTTTTCTTGTAACATATATAATTTTTTACAATATCTGTACTTTATATACATATTTATCAATGATGCCTAGTATGTAGTGTTTTTTAAGAAAATGTAATAATAATGGTTTCAGAATTCAGTAAAAATGATTCCCCCCAGTTAAGCCTAAAACCTAAAGCAAATGGATTGTCTGTGATGGGTAATTTTATCCATTTCTAGGGAATTCCATTTTCATTCTCAGCCTTCCATACTACTGCATACTCTATTCAGGAAAGTCCTCCAATCTTTTGAATAACCGTTCTTGGAAGACTACAGGCCTTCAGGGGGAGAACAGAGAGGTCAAATCCTACAAATTCCTTTCCGCTAGCACAATGTTCTATATTGCCTTGTTTCTTATTTCTCATGCAAAACCTGCTGGATATCTGTATGTTAAAGCAATTTGTTTTCTTTGTTTTATATAGCTGTTTCCAGGAATCAGTTGCAAGTAAATTTTAACTGCTTGATATAAACTGTCACAGGCTCAAATTCAAACAAAAGACTATAACTTCTGTCTTAAGAACTAACTGTGATGATTTTACACTTGTAAAAATATCACTTGGAAGTGGAAATTCTGGAATTTGTGTTATTTCATTCTTTTTGTTTTAGGGCTTGTATGACTTTTTTATCAAATGCAGATTTTTCACACTTTTATTCTTTCTCTACATTTAAACAGAGCATTATTATATGGTGGAATGCGTGAATCTCAGCCTGAAGCAGAAATCCCTCTCCATGATACCACCGCAGAGGCCTTTACAATGTTATTGAAATATATTTATACAGGTCGTGCCATATTAAGAGACGAGAAAGAAGAAGTTCTCTTAGATTTCTTCAGTTTAGCACATAAATATGGGTTTCCAGAACTGGAGGATTCCACCTCTGAATATCTTTGTACCATTCTTAACATTCAGAATGTTTGCATGACCTATGACGTTGCTAATCTCTACTCACTACCTAAACTGACATGTATGTGCTTCATATTTATGGATAGACATGCTCAAGAGGTACTCTTCAGTGAAGGCTTTCTGTCTCTTTCTAAGGTATGTCAACATTTTAATCTTTAGGTTTGTTTGTTTTTTAAATCACTTTTTGTATACATAGGTATTTGGGAAAATATTGTTGAATTTTTTGAATATAGATTTTGAAATTCATTGCATTACTCATTATTGTTTTGTTCTCTTGTTTTTGTATCCTAATGTTTCTGTGTGGGGGCTGATGTGGTTATTGTTCTCATTGTTATGATTGTTTTGATTAGTTTTAACCTCATCATGGATATTTTAATTTTTGTTCATATAGTCTGTAAGCTGTTGAGAATCATTTGATTTTGGTGGTGTAGAAGTAAAATAAATATTTGTGGTATATAATTTGTAGGCAATGTATGACTAAATTCCAGTTTCCCCATTTATTGAATATCTAATCCTTCTGATGGTGTTTCTCTGAGAAAATTCCGAAAGTCATATCAGAGGAGTATCCAAATGTTCATCTTCCAGTGGACTATATGACATTCTATAATAATTTTGCTTTCCTTTTCCTATGTAAGCCCTTTCAATAATTAGTCATTTCTGGAATATGTTCTACTTTGACTGACCATTGTTCCATTTTTCAATCACAATTATTCCTCAGTTCTTAATGAACCCTCCCCTCTTCTCTGAAATACGTTGAAACTAGGAAGATGGTTCTTGAAAAGGCTCTGTGTTCAGGAGATTAAAGTTCCTGTACTTGCATACAATTCTAGCATACAATTCTAACCAGCAGTTAGCTGCCCTAATTCTGGAGGATTCTGGGTAGTGTAAAACAAAAAACAATAAATACAAACAAAACCAAAAGGAACCCACATCACAATAAAAGCATCTTCACAAAGCAAAAATAAGTTTTAATAGTGGGGCAGAGAACAGTTTTGCTCTAAGTTAATAATTTTGTTAATGGGACTGTACTAAACTACAGGATTTATATCATATATATGTACAGTAATCTCCTCTAGCTGCAGATGCCTGAATGGTTAGTAAAGAACTGTTGCTAACATCATTTTATATAGGAAGGATAAAACTTTTATGTGGCTATGTGAGATGTTGGTTTTGTAAGCAAATATATATTGCAAACAGAGCTCACAATGAAGAGCTTGTAGAATTGAACTGATACAGTTTTATTTGGAACTGACTGAACAATCTTACATTACAGCCATTTCTTTTTGCTTTTTAGCCAGCACTTCTCAGTATTGTACTGAGGGATTCATTTGCAGCTCCTGAGAAAGACATTTTTCAAGCATTGATGAATTGGTGTAAACACAATCCTAAGGAAAATCATGCTGAAATTATGAAGGCAGTGCGCTTGCCGTTGATGAGCTTGACGGAGCTTTTAAATGTCGTAAGACCTTCAGGATTGCTATCTCCTGATGCTATTTTGGATGCCATTAAAGTTCGATCTGAAAGTCGGGACATGGACCTCAACTATAGGGGCATGTTAAGTAAGCCTCAGTATTTTGAACTTGCAAAGGAAGGTTTAATGCACTTCCTTTTAATTAAAAATGTTGGCCAACTGTTGCTGCTAAGCAACTGTTAACCAGCAGAAATAGTACCCTCTAATAACTGATTGTATTTTCTAATTCTACTGCCTGGTTCTAATCAATCTAATCCTCAGTAAACCAATGAAGTAGCAAAACACTTTTCCTTACTGTTTTGTATTCAAAGATTGAGTGAATGAAAGGCTATTCTTGCAATTAATCTACTCTTCAGTGGGGTGGGAGTGCTGCTGCATGGCATATGATGTCACAAGAATTAGGGGAATGTTTTGTGAACCAATTTTCTTTTCTTTTTATGATATAATTTATACTCTTCAAGAGAACTCCATAAAGACTTCTTAAGGGCACAAAGAAATGAGTGGAGAGGGAAATATTAGTTCTTTGAGTGATCTTCTGTTTACGGACTTTTTGGATATAGCCACCACTTTTCTGCAAAAATTCAAACAATCTACCCTGAATATTTCTAATTTCTGAATTTCATTAAATAGCTGTAAACATCTATTATTGGGGTTTTTCTGTTCCCATATTCCTTTCTTTTCAAGCGTCAGTAGTGTTACAAAGAGGCTGAAAAACTTCATTTTTATTCACTAGTTAATTTTTAATTATCAATCAAATTGTATTGATTTCTCAGGTATTAGCATTTTATAAATATAATTGTATTCAAAATATTAGAGGTTTTTAATGTTAAGATCAAAATCCAACGGAAGTTAGTCTTCACTAACCCCAATGGAAATCAGTGGGGCTTTGGGTTGCCATGACTATCTTACTCAGTTGCTTTCTTAAGTAATATTTATTGCACTTTCTTCATTGTTCTGACTAAAATCAAATGGGAGAGGTGGTATATCTTACTAGTCAATTGGAAATGTGTTAGAAAGAAAGAATAAACAACTTTTCATTCCTGTTGTTTCCAGTACCAGGTGAAAACATTGCCACTATGAAATATGGAGCCCAAGTGGTTAAAGGGGAATTGAAATCTGCTTTATTAGATGGGGACACACAGAACTATGATCTAGACCATGGATTTTCCCGGCATCCTATTGATGATGACTGCCGTTCTGGTATTGAAATTAAACTGGGTCAGCCATCAATAATCAATCACATACGAATACTATTATGGGATCGAGATAGCAGGTAAGTTCTAAGTCTCGTTTGTTTTTCCAGTCTTGGTCTTAACAAAATCCATTTCCAGTAAACCTTGCTTGTTAGCACTGTCTTTTGCAAAATCAGTTTGCTCTGTTGTTCCTGCTTCCTACTTGGAATGCTCAGTGTCCAGGAGATGAAATGGGTTTTGGAGAATGAGCATTTTATTGGCTTCGGACCCTGAAAACTACAGCTGACACTAAGAAACACAGTTGCAGCTCATACAGAAAACTTATCTGAATGGGAGTGATCTCAAGTACATAAAATAATTAAAATGCAATAACATAGTAGAATAATGAAAGATAAAGAAATGGTAAAAATAAGTGGGAGTACTCAGTTGTTTAAAAATGTGTCGTTAATAAAGATGAAAGTGTATGCCGGTATATATTTAAAATTGATTATGTGTGTTACAAGTTGGGATTGGGAAGGAAAACAATACTTTTATATTTTTAGGGATTTAATATTTATTTTTTCCACCACCCTGCCCCCAATGATATCAAGCCCTTCTACATAATATCATGTATTCAATATGGCTGTTGGTTGCCAAATAACCCTAAGGTACCATATAGGGTCCCTATCTGTAGTAAACAAATCCCATTTGTGCCAGCTTTTGAATCCACCAGTTTATGGGTCAGCCTCCCAGGTAGACCAGACAGGGAACACAACAAGATGAGCTAATTCTACTTTATTGTAAGGCTACATTAATAGAATCTTGCAAGTCTGAAAGTACAAATCTCCTGCCATCTCTTTTTACAGCCTGATAGGTTAGGGTGGATCCTTTCTCACTTTTTTTTCTGCCCATTATTCAACTGTGAGCTCCTCCTCCTTTTATCTGATCGTTCCCTAGGCAGCATCTCTTCCCTTCATCTCTCAAGGTCATTCCCACATACCATTATATCACCAAATAGACTCCGCTTTATATTGTTTTTTGTTTTAATCTAATAAATCTCTTCCATTGACAATGAAGGATTTCTCAGAGAATAGATTTTTTTTGTCCCTTTAGAAGTTGATAAGCAGACTTGGACTTTCCTCTTTTATCACCCAGGTTCTAGAAGGTGACTGAAACTTTCCACTTTAAGAGTGCTTTAAATTCCTAATTTCACTGCTGTTTTAATAAAAATACTGTTTTAAATGTAGATTCACTTGCCTAACATTGAATGTACCATAGCCATCCCCAGGATGTATAAAACATTGTTTGAAATTGATACATGGATAACTGCTATATTTTTAATTTATTTGATCTTTAAAGGTCTTACTCCTATTATATTGAGGTATCCATGGATGAACTAGACTGGATTCGTGTAATTGATCACTCCAAATATCTATGTCGATCTTGGCAGAAACTGTATTTTCCTGCCCGTGTCTGCAGGTTAGTGTGTGATGTGACTGTTTTGATTCCATACTGTTTTAATGTTGAACTAAATTATTTTGCTTTAATTGATTAGAATTAGATAAAGTAATTACTCCAGTATGTATTAGAATAAAGCAAACCAACAGTTGAGTAGTTGTGTGAAAAAGGCTAATGAACTATAGTGTAAAAAAACCCGATAGTAATATTGTTTTCTCTTTTTTTCTTTAGACCATAAGGTGTGTGTGTATATAATTTTTAGCTATTATCTTCCAGTTCTGTATCAGAAAAAATACAATGGCATTGTGGTATTTAGCAGAGATGTAACTTTTGGAAGTTTTTGTAGCAATGGAAAGAAAATGATTCCCCTCCCTCTCTTTGGGGTGGGGAGTATTAAAATATCTGCAGTACTTTTTAACAGATATGGAAACACTTTGTTACTTAATATAATATATAATGCATAACCTGTTTTGCTTATTAAAGTATGCCTGGAGTATAAAATTAGAAAGTACAATTATTCCAATAATAATTATACATTAGTTGAATTTGCTATACAATATTTTTAATTTTGGCTACAAATTGCACTGCAGCTGCTAAACTCCAAGGGAAGTAACATTTTATGTGTTTAGGAGTAGCAAGTAGGTGAATATTAATGCTGAAAAAAAAGTGACAATATTGTAGTAAAACAAAGAAGGTTATTATTTCATAATTTGTTCCCCATTATCTAAGATTCAAAAAGCACTACTTTTTAGAAAAATATTATGGAGAAATGAGTGAGGGACAAGGCTTAGAACATGCATAGCATAATAATAGCATAGTAATACTGGATTTTATTATATTCACTGACTAGAATCTTGTGAGTTAACAAAATAATTAAAATAATTAAACAGGTTCTTTTTCAAATAAAATAAACATTTTCTTTTTCAAATAAAACATAAAATTATAATTAGGTCATCAAGGCAATCAGGGTGTGTCTAATTTTACAGGTAGTACAACAAAACCTAGCTACATTCAAGTAAATTAAATTGCACTTTTTTTTATTACTGAAAGTCCATTGCTTTAACTAATCTAATCTTTGTTGCCAGTGAAATGTTCTTATCCTTCATGATCTTGTCTAGCAATTTTTGTCATTGCTTTCCTTAGTAGTATTAATCTCCTTTTTGTGTCCCTAACATTCGGTCCATTTTATTCTCCAACTTAAGAAAATCAAACTCTCTATCACTTTGAATTCATCATCAGTTTACTAATGATGAAGTAAATTCACTAAGAATGCAAGGTGTAAGTTCACTAAGGTCATGAAGAATGCAGAGTGACATTACATTTGGCTTCCTAATATTTACCATTAACTTGGATTTTTTACTTTCCAGTTTTATTTGTATCATGAGCTCTTCTAAGTCTTCATTATTTTTATCTAACAAAGTAGTGTCATCTGCATATTTTAAATTGTTAATACTTCAACCTGAATTTTTGATTCCAAGTGCCATTTCTTCCAATGTTGCCTTTCTTACTGTGGTGAGAATATGCAGTACCCCATTCCCTTCTCAATCCTGAACCATTCAGTTTCTCTAAATGCAGTTCTTAGAATTGTTCTTTTTTTCATTGCAAAGGTTCCTCTGAAGAGTAAGTTGCCCTGGCCCTTCCATTAGCCTTAATATATTCCATGTTCTGGTGCAGTCAGTCAGAGTTCTTGTAATCAGTGAAACAAAGGTAAACTTCCTTCTTAGGCTTTCTCCATTATCTATCATATGTTAGCTGCCTGATCTTGTGTCTTTGCCTTTTCAGAAATCTTCATTTCACATTTCTCTCTCCAGATATGTTTCCCATAACTTGGGAATTTAACAGTCAAATATCTAAACTGTCAGTACTTTCACATACTTATTTTAGAAGAAGCAACGTGAGGTTTTGCAGAGGAATCAAGTACAATTTCATTTCCATCATTTTTTTTCCTTTGTAGAGATATTTCATTTTCTTTATTCTGCAATTTAATTTAAATTCTGTTTGGGCAATAACAATGTATGCTGGTCTCTGATTGAAAAATAGTACAATACAATGGAAATAATATGATATTGTTCTGCTCCCACCTCATCTTCTTGACACTGATTGCAATGGATTCTTCTTTTGGTGGTACAAATAACTTCCTTTGTAGCTTTCCATAATATTCAGCTGGAAAAATTATGTGCAGCCAAGTAGGGAAAAGTAAAAATTTTAAAAGATAATTTAAATGAATGATTCAGGAAGTAATATTAGTGTACATAGGAGTTTATTTTCAAGCTCTTTGAAATTCTCATGAAGTTCAACAATGTGGTTCAAGCTGCTGGTACTTAAAAGTAGTTTTTAGAAATATGTTGTAAAATATTGTAATCAATTATTACATTTTGTTTCTTATAAATTAAATACTATAATAAATTAAAAAGTGACAAGCATCCAGTATAGTAGTTTAAAAACAGTTAGCAGTGAGCTGTTCTCCTTATTTTTCAGGCTTTGAAGAAGAGATATACTGTACATAGATTTGTTTCATTGCACAATCTCTGTCTTCAGCGTCACAATCCAGTCCAAATCAGTTTCAGTGAAACCTCAGTTTACTAGATCTCAGTACAACAGGCTTCATATGGAACAGAGCAATATTCCATATTGATTAACAATATTGTGTAATGACATCATAATGCAAATATAGTCATTTGTGTAATGATATCATTGTGCAAATGACTTCAGGTGATACAATCTCTGATTAAATGGACATTCATAAATAATGAACACACCTATCCCTTACACACCAGCTAGTCCATTAAAATGAGGTTTCACTATAAGGTTTTGCATTTTGCTACTTTGAGAATGGGACAGAAAGAAATGGAGAAAAGTCGTGAGATGTTATAAGTGGGGTTAGTGAATACTCAACATAGCAAGGACATGACGTTGATCTATATGACAGATATTGATGTTTCCAGATAGAGTTTGTTTTCACAAGGGCCTTTCATTCCACCCATAGCTGCTGCTTTGGAATAGATGAAGACTTCTGTGATACAAGCTATACAAAAGAATGTTACGATGATTTAGAGGGAATAAAGGAGAATAGAGAATAGGAAGGGAATTGTAAGGTATACTATGCTCATTACATAGATCTGTTTGTTCTTTTAAGTGCAGGAAAACTAGATATTGGGAAAATACTATTTTTATAGTACTGGCAATATTGATTGTTAAAGAACATTACGAAACTATTTGTAATCAAATGGACTAGAAAATAAGCCCGTAAATATTACTTAGCTGGAAAATTATTTATAACCCTATTAAGAGGCTAATGGTGTAAGTTAGTAAAAAAATATTCATTGAAACAGATAAAAATAGATTGATCTGTTGCACCTCTTAATCTGCTTATTCTGCTTGATGGAATGCACTTGTTTGCTTGGAGTTCATGATGCTAGGTGAGAAGTTAGATACAAGGGTGTATTAAATTCTCACTAAATATGGCATCTTAATTTGTATGTAAATATTAGTCATATATATTAAGAGACATTCAGATAAAAATTATCTCAATATTCCTGATAGTGGCACAAACTAGTTCAATTCCATACTGTCTTGGAAACAAACAAAGAATTATTGTTTGTCCTTTGTTTCATTGAATTTTCTTTGCTTTAGGCGTTTGTTCTGTGTCCTTAATACTTTTTCTTTTCCTAATTTCTGGACTGGGTTTCTAATAATAAAATATCATTGTGACTCTAAAGAAATTCTACAATATATTGTTCCACATAATAGGCAAAAAATTATAGTTAATTTATTAATTTTTAAATGAATTCTAGAATATTTACAATAAACACAGACAGATTTAATCTGCTTGATCAGTTATTCGCTGCATTATTTGCAGTATATTTTAGCCACTACTACAGCTCAAAACTGGTTTTCAGTAGCATTCTGAGAAATCCAAATTAGTTTTCTGAACTATTAATTCTGTTGTTATATTCGACGCAGTGTATTTTAGCAGAGGCGTGGAATAGACCGAGCCCTGGTTATATATGTATTAGTCACTTGTCAGTAGTCACTTACTTTGTTTTTTTTTCCTCCAAGTGCTCTTGCACAGGACAAGCTTATAGAAGGGACTGCTATGCTACGCTCTAGTGTTCTTTGAGAAAAGTGAAATTCAGTCTACAGATATTCTTCTGCTTGTGCAAATAAAAACATGAGAGCTAATAAATGATACTTTACTTATCTGGAAGAACCAGAATTTAAGGTGGAATTTAATCATAACTCTCTCCCCTCTACACACATATAAAAGAGATATTAGACAGAAACAATTATTCTAAGTCTATGATGACAGTCTCAGTAAATCTGTACAATTTTAAAGTTAAATTATTGGAGGAAAAATTGTTACATAGCACTTAGCAAACATTTGTGGAGCAACAGCAGAAACTATTTTTCTTCTGTTTTTAGCTTATGGATTTTTTTCACCATGAATTACAAGAGTTTATTATGGGCAATTGTGTTTGTTGTTGATTTATAGAAATTATGCAATAGGAACTGTGGGCAAGTATAGGGTCATCCTTAAGGATTCACTAAAACATTCTCATTGATGCTGTTTTAAACTGAATGCTCACGTTAGGTAATTAATTGGACCATTTTTGTATTTAAAATAGCATGGTCCTGCTGTTGTTTTTAATAATTCTTCATTTTATAGGATGATTCTGTTGTATTCACAGTTCAAACTGCTTGGGAGCCTAAGATTGTTTTTTAAATTGAATTGCATGAAAACAGCAGTGTAGTTTATAAACAGTGGTTTATAGCTTAATGTGATGTATGAACCCTATCATAATTTTGGCTTCATGTTCCTCCTTCTAAATCTTATTATTATTTTGATTAAATGCTATATCTTCTTAAAAGCACTGTTGTATTTTCTGTTTGCCTTGTAGCAAAAAAGGAATTCTGCCTGTCACTCATAAAACAGTAAATCAATCTGATAGCCAAACAGAAAAGTAATTTTCTTGTCAGAATTGGGAGGGAGAGAAAAACTCTTACAGATCTAAATATAAAAT